ATACCATGGCCTACCGGAGTACGTGAGAGCCGAATCATTTTTGTACATAGTGAACCAATCTGCAGCAGTATTGTGGGTAAAGAATCTTCTCTATGCATAGAACTTCCGCGTGAAATCGCTTTGCTAGCTTTTCGCTCTTTATAAAACAGAAGTGTTCAAAATGCGCTTTGGCTGAATTGACTATGTTTTCCTCTACCAGCTACCAAAAAAAATTGGGTGCCTGGGAAAATGAAGAAGGCGGTCTTCTAAAAAAGGAAAAGTGCTCTTATGCTATACATATGATTCAGAAATGTGCGGGAAAAAGTGTGAAGACACGGGAAATTATTTGTTGAGCTCCTCCGCAACTCCTCAAAAAATTAAAGCTTTCATCTTAATAGATGCAAGAACTAAAGGGAGGTAGGAACTTTTGCAGTAGTAACTCCTGCTTTGTGGGGAAGTTAAAGATTCTACCCTGTTGTCTTTGGAAAAATCGTACCGATCGTTATTGAAAATTTTTCACTGCAAATCGCCCCCCGTGATGGTCTACCGCCTCATCGCGGCGCGGCGGTGAGAGGTGCCATCACCTGGCTAAGTTAGTCGTGATTCCCGGATCCACTAAGGTCAGCGCTGCATGTGGTGAAAGCTTGACAGATCCTGGCAAAACCGCTAAGTCCACTTCAACTGCTTGCACAGCATGTAAGAAGAAAAGAAAAGCCCTGTGCACTACATCACATCTCCGGCATTTGATGAGGTATCATCGAGATCGGTGTTAGGTTGCACAGGACGCCATGGATATCGGACCAAAAGGACACGTCAACAACTCGCCATGGAAATTTTCCATGCTCTGCACCTTCAAAGCCAGGACAATCTCCACCAAATCCAATCTTCACGCCCTTCACGAAGCTGCAGGGCGCATCAACTACCATGTAACCGCCTTACAGGGAACAAAGACTTGGAAGACAGACGTGAGGCAGCTAAGCAATGACACACTCATCATTCGTGGTGAGAAAGTTCCATCAAAACATTGGAGGAGTTGGATTTGTCGTGCACCCATCTGTCGTCCGTCTTGTCGATTCACATGAGATCCTATCCCCTTGT